CAAATCGCTTGTTCTCTCTAGGCTGGAATACTGCTGTACACTAACGGCCCCCTTTAATGCTGGCGATATTGCTGACCTGGAGAGTGTACAAAGAACTTTCACGGCACACATTAAATTACTGGGAATGGTTGAAGGTCCTTGATCTGTATTCCCTGGAATGCAGGTGAGAGAGATACAGTAGGACCCCACTTATACAGCAAGTTAGGTTCCAGGCTACTGCCAGAAAGCAGAATGTCATTTTTTCCACTTATAAATGTCAGGTAACAAGTTTACACTAACATAAATTACGTTAGCAATAGAACTAGGCATTAAAAACAATAAAGAGTAAAATACACACACAGTACACCCACTACTTAACTTAAAATATTTGTAGTCTTATTAATGTAGGGTGAGAGGTGAGTTTAATTTGTAGGAAGTAAGGTCTGGGAGGTATGGTAGCCAGCCAGGTCAGCCCACTCCACCAACACATAACATAATACGATATTTAATTAAAGCTTCCCAGAGTGATAAAATACATATACAGTACATTCATTAATTACCTTAAAATATTTGTAGTCTTAATGTAGAGTGAGAGATGAGTTTTATTTTTAGGAAGTCAGGTTTGGGAAGTATGGTAGCCAGCCAGGGCAGCCCTCCCCACTCCACCCACACATAATGTAAACAAACCAGATGAACGCGTCTGGTTTTCGTCACTTTACATCGTGTACAAGTTGTCTCCACATTGATACAGTAGAATAAATAAAGACAAACAGTCCCATTCTCACCATTTTTAGAAGAAATGACGCCATGAGTGAAGGAATATTTAGGTACACATACGTATAATTATCAGTTATAATAATGATGTAGGTATATAGTCCGCCTGGGCTACATACCTATACCTACCTACATAGCTACACGATATTTAACTTGGCCCAGAGCCATATTACCATCAACATACCATGTTCATTAAGTTTAATCATTTCTAACAACTACCTTCAGATACCATCACAGCAAAGGGAGAAGTAATGAATAATTCATGCCGAGAATTGTAAACAAAAGTGTTATGTATTAAGGGGAGTGACGTAATGTTTTCCCTCCGCCCGGCTACTACACCTCCATAGTATATAAACATAAAATGTTTATAGGCTATATAACATGTTTCTTATATAATTTTGGAGAAAATATCATGGATGGATTAATGAAAATGTCTATATTTATGTAAAATTAGACATTTAATGTGCCAAAGAGTGATTATTATTACATAATAAAGAGAATGTAAACAAACCTGGTGGTGCATGCCATATTTGAAAGATTGCTTGCCCTATAGAAAGTTTTGGTCATAATTTGAGATTGCCATATTACGGAATGCCATAAGGCAAAACACCGAAAAGTGGGGCCCTACTGTAAGATAATACAGTGGACCTCCGGTTTACGATCACCTCCCAATGCGACCAATTATGTAAGTGTATTTATGTAAGTGCGTTTGTACATGTATGTTTGGGGGTCTGAAATGGACTAATCTAATTCACAATATTCCTTATGGGAACAAATTCGTTCAGTACTGGCACCTGAACATACTTCTGGAATGAAATAATATCGTAAACCGGGGGTCCACTGTATACATTTGGAAGGTCCTAGAGGGATTGGTGCCAAACCTGCACACGAAAAACACTCCCTATGAAAACAAAATACATGGCAGATGCAGCATTCCCCCAATGAGAAGCAGGGGTGCCATGAGTACAGCGAGAGACAACACTATAAGTGTCCGAGGCCCAAGACTGTTCAACTGCCTCCCAGTATGCAAAAGGGAGATTACCAATAGACCCCTGGCTGTCTTCAAGAAGGCACTGGACAGGCACTTAAAGTCAGTACCTGACCAACTGGGCTGTGGTTCATACGTCAGTTTGCGTGTGGCCAGAAGTAACAGCCTGGTTGGTCAGTCCCTGATCCACTACAAGGCCTGGTCTCAGACCAAGCCACGGGGGCACTGACCCCCAAAACCATCTCCAGGTAAACCTTATTCGGGGAAGCCAGACACCTTAAGGTGTGCTAGAGGCAGAGGCATTAACAGAAACGGGTGGCATCTCGGCACCTGGAGCAGCTGATGAAGCGACACCAGCAGAAGGTACAAGGGATTGAGAAGAGTCTAGAGAATGGTCCAATAATGAAGCCAGGCCAGAACAGATGTGGGAACAGAAAGGGGCCATGGAGGAGGACGGGGGTTGTCACAAACTGAAGACTCCATGATAGTGGTGCTTCTTTCTAGTTATTTTAAAGATAAAAAGAAGGAAAGAAAAAAAAAAGAGGGACAGTCACTAGAAGGCATGGAAGGGCTGTAAGTTCTTCCCCTCATCTGAGAGTGCCTCGAGCCCATGAGCAGTGCAGATGCAGCGTGGAACCCGTGCCATACCCTACCCTTCATGCCATAAATCAGCACTCCAGGATAGCGATCTAGCCACCTCAGTGGACAAAGGAAAGGGTTTACCTGGAGAGGGTTTTGGGGGTCAGTGCCCCTGTGGCCCGGTCTGAGACCAGGCTTCATGATGGTTCAGGGTCTGATCAACCAGGCTGTTACTGCTGGCTGCACGCAAGCTGATGTACGAACCACAGCCCGGTTGGTCAGGTACTGACTTTAGGTGCCTGTCCAGTACCTTCTTGAAGACAGCAAGGGGTCTATTGGTAGTGGTCAGAAACCTGCCACAAAGCATACCTCCTTTGGCTGTCACCTCCCAGAACTGACAGGCAGCCTCTGCAGGACACCCTGCACACTTTTCGAAGATCCAGGAAGGGAGTAGGGCACTTCCAGACAATTCAGATTCCATGGCAAACTACAACACCCCTAAGGGACTTCATGGAGTGGGATGAACCCCAGCACACTTCCCTCTACTTAGAAACCTTAATTACAGAGGGGAGGAACCCAGAAACTACAAACATGACAGGAAAAGGGGAGGGTTGGGAGGGGGAGGAAAGGAGGAAAAAAAGGGGGATGGGGATGATGGGATAGGGAAGGAAGGATTGGGGGGGTATTTAGGATCGGTCTGAGGAAGGAGGCCATAGGGTTTAATTCCCTAGACCAAGAGCCTCTTTGCCACATCAAGGACCCCCCTCCTTGAAGAGGCTAAGTGTGCACAATAAGGTTGTTATGCAAGTTGCTGTATTGCTGTTTAAATGTATGGAGAAGTGTGCTATTATTTGATAAACATAATTGTAAATCATAATGTACTGAACTAGGGGTAAATGTAAACCATAACTTTAGAAATATGCTATGTATTTTGTGGGAACTGTAAAGCAGTTTAAACTGTGGAATATAAGATATCCTGTTGGGGATTCATTTTTCAACTGTGTGGGGTCACGGCGTCTGTAAGCGTGGGTGGCGAATGGGAGCCAGTCAAGTGGAGGCAGCATGGAGTGAAGGCTGGTGAGATGGTGTGTATTTAAGCTAAGTTTTGTAGTTCTGTACTCCTTTTGTTTAGCCAACTAAGCCATAGGCTCCTTTATATGATACTTACCAGCATGCTCACCTGGGCTTTGATATGATCAGGGTTCTGTGGGATGAGTGAGGACTGATGAAATAGGATGAGTTGGTCTCAGGAGGAGAGTAAGGGACAGCGTCTGCTGGGCACCAGCCCCATAGGTACAGGTGTCTTTGTTTTGCGTTGACTCTCCAGCCGCAGGCTCCCTATGTACCTTTATTTGGGCGTCTAGGCTTAGAGCAATATGAGGGTGTTTTTTCTAGTGTGTGTTTATATTGTTAGTAATAAATGCATATTTTTCAAACAAGGAATTTTCCCTAAACCCTCTGATAACCAACCCATTGATGCATTAAATGCTGGTTTAGTGCTTTTGTTTTGACTGGGATAACCCTGGGTGGCCTAGGTTTACACGAGATGTGAGTAACTTTTACCTTTGCCCTTAGACAAAGCTTTAAGCCCCAAGGAGCTCTCACTTTCTTCATAACAAAGGCTAACAGATTACTAGGATTTATTTCAAGAAGTACAAGTAACAGAGGTCCAAGTTATTTTACATCTCTATCCATCACTAGTGAGGCCTCATTTGGATTATGCCGCTCAGCTTTGGTCTCCTTACTACAGGATGAATATAGATTCATTGGAGAACATACAGAGAAGAATGGCTAAAATTATTTGTATAAGGAATCTCCCATATGAATACAGAGCATTGGATCTTAACTCTCTGGAAAGGCATAGAATGAGGGGAGATATCATCGAAGTCTGTAAGTGGATGATGGTCATAAACAAAGGTGATATTAATAAAGTACTGAGGGTGTCAAACCAGGTAAGAACCAGAAATAATGGATTTAAGTTGGATAAATTTAGATTTTGAAAGGACATAGGTAAGTACTGGTTTTTGAGCAGAGTTGTGGATGCATGGAACAATTTTATGAGTAGAATGATCAAGGCTAGGACCTTGGGTAGCTTTAAAAAGAGATTGGACAAACATATGATTGGGAGAGGCTGGGTTTGAATGGTGTCGTAGTTCTTTCTTCTTTTAACACACGTGTCGTACTTACGGGACTAAATTCTTGGGTACCTTGGGGTACGAGTGGTTTTGATAAGGACCTGCCTTGTATGGGCAGTATTCCTCCATTCTTATGTTCTCATGTATTGTTAGTGAGCAAACTGTAAAGAATGCCACGAGTCATGCACTTTCCATTGCCACTCCTGGATGTGTAGGCAACCACCAGTAATAAGTCAGAAAAAAAGAGCCTCTAACAGTTTCTCATCAGAGCATCACCTGATATTTACTCACATAATTCAGTTTCTATTAGGTGGAGTAATACACCCACTACCGGACTACATAGTAAACACACGCACTACCGATGAAAGCTACATTAGGTGGAGTAATACACCCACTGCAGCACTACCGATGAAAGCTACATTAGGTGGAGTAATACACCCACTGCAGCACTACCGATGAAAGCTACATTAGGTGGAGTAATACACCCACTGCAGCACTACCATGAATCAGCTACTATTAGGTGGAGTAATACACCCACTGCAGCACTACCAATGAAAGCTACATTAGGTGGAGTAATACACCCACTGCAGCACTACCGATGAAAGCTACATTAGGTGGAGTAATACACCCACTGCAGCACTACCAATGAAAGCTACATTAGGTGGAGTAATACACCCACTGCAGCACTACCAATGAAAGCTACATTAGAACTGAGTAGAAAGCAATTCCTTTTCATTCTGTCTGGGAGATAAATTTTGCAAGAGAAATGTCCCCATAAGAAGAGGTCGGGGTAATTAAGTGTGGCATAGATGCCCCTTGAAGAAAATGCAATAGTGATAATACAGTGAATTAAAGTGTCTACAAAATAGCAGAGTATGCAACAGTCACCTCCATGACATTACTGTGACTGATTGTTGCTCTCAAAACACCTCCCATCAATTGTCAACCTCACCAAAGATACAATAGTGATGGTACAGTAAACTAGAGAGCCAGCACAACACCACAGTCCACAACAGTCACCTCCTTTATGTTACTGTGGTCAACTGCTGCTCTCAATACATTCATCCCACTCTCAACTTCACCAAAGATATTGCTATACTGATTATATGTGGCATCCCTGGTGATAATGGTGAACTGGGTACTAAAGTGACTCCCTTGCCACCACGGTGATGACACAGCACCAACTTTGCCTGATTCCCGGTACTCATCCTGCTGATCAGACAGCAGTGGGGCTCCTCCCTTTCCATTATTATGCTGGTAGTCTCCACCTGTAACACTTTCTCCTGGTTCACCTTTGTACTCTACTTTAAAAAATGTTGTGTTGTGGTAGGATGGACCTCTCTCGCCAGAAGACAACCACACAAACTGTGTGGCCAGCCCAGTGTCAGGAGTCAGGCGGATGTGAACTCTGCCTCTGGTTAAACCAGCCCATGCAAGGTCAAGAAATACCAGGGTGGAAGAAGTATCCAGTACCTCCATCACTTTGCTGTGCTGAAAAAACAATGATTATTAATAAATAAAATATTAAGTGTTATGGAACTACAAAAAATTATTTATTAGGTAGCCTCATGTCTCAGAAAACTTGAATATCAGTCCCATCTGTCAGATGACAGTGGTAGCCTCATGTCTCAGAAAACTTGAATATCAGTCCCATCTGTCAGATGACAGTGGTAGCCTCATGTCTCAGAAAACTTGAATATCAGTCCAATCTGTCAGATGACAGTGGTAGCCTCATGTCTCAGAAAACTTGAATATCAGTCCCATCTGTCAGATGACAGTGGTAGCCTCATGTCTCAGAAAACTTGAATATCAGTCCAATCTGTCAATGACAGTGGTAGCCTCATGTCTCAGAAAACTTGAATATCAGTCCCATCTGTCAGATGACAGTGGTAGCCTCATGTCTCAGAAAACTGAATATCAGTCCAATCTGTCGAGTGACAGTGGTAGCCTCATGTCTCAGAAAACTTGAATATCAGTCCCATCTGTCAGATGACAGTGGTAGCCTCATGTCTCAGAAAACTTGAATATCAGTCCAATCTGTCAGATGACAGTGGTAGCCTCATGTCTCAGAAAACTTGAATATCAGTCCCATCTGTCAGATGACAGTGGTAGCCTCATGTCTCAGAAAACTTGAATATCAGTCCAATCTGTCAGATGACAGTGGTAGCCTCATGTCTCAGAAAACTTGAATTCAGTCCCATCTGTCAATGACAGTGGTAGCCTCATGTCTCAGAAAACTTGAATATCAGTCCAATCTGTCAGATGACAGTGGCAGCCTCATGTCTCAGAAAACTTGAATATCAGTCCCATCTGTCAGATGACAATAGCAGAGACATAGAGAAGGGGGTGAAGCAGTGGGAGTAAGTAAGAGGAATGTGAGGGAGCAGGTGAGTTGTAGAAGAGGAAGTAGGTGAGAGAGGAAAGACAGCAGATGGAAGATAGAAAGAGGTAGCAAGCGAGAAAGAGAAGAGAAAAGTGAGAGAGAGAGAGTAGGTGAGGAGAGGATAGGGAGCAGGTTGTACAAGAATGGTATACAATACTGACAAGATGAAATTAAGACACACGTGCAACATCTGGGTATCTTTATTATAGACATTTCGCCATCCAGTGGCTTTATCATTACAAATTCTAGGACATAATTATGTCCTAGATGTTGCACATGTCATAATGTCATCATAGAGAGCAGGTGTGAGAAAAAGAGAATAAGGAGCTGGAAAGAGGATAAGGGGAAGGGGAGGGGGTGAGAGGAAGAGGAAAAAGGAAGCAGGTGAGAGGAAGATAGAAGGTTAGAGGTGAAAAGAGAGGAAAGGAACAGGTGATGGGAAGGAGAGGAAGCAAGTGAGAGGAACAGAGAAGAGAGAGTTAAGAAATGACATAATTTATTTTTTGGTGAAAATATTCTAGGAAAGTAACAAGGAGGTGGAAAAGGTATAAGAGGAGGATGATAGAGAGAGATAGAGAGTGTGTTTGAGTGTGAGCTAGAGGGTTAGAGAAAGAGGAGGAGGAGGAGGAGGAGGAGGAGGAGGAGGATAGAGAGAGATAGTGTGGTTTGAGTGTGAGTTAGAGAGGGAGAGAGAGAGGGGGGAGGGGAGTGTTAGAGTGTTTGGGGCATGTGGGTTGGGTAGTGTGCTTGCAGGCCTAGGAGGCGAGGGGAGAGGGAGGGGAGAATGGAGGGTAGGTGGAGGGAAGATGGAGGAGGTATAGGAGGAGGACCAGGAGGAGGAAGAGAGGGAAAAAAGATAGGTAGGGGAGGTTGGTAGGGAGGAGAGGGGGAGGTGGGGGGGAAAATGGAGGAGGTAGTGAGGAGGAGGAGGAGCAGGGGGGGGGGAAGAAGGGAGGGAAAGAGAGAGGGAGGGAGGGAAAGAGAGGGTAGGGGGGTAGGTAGGGAGGAAGGGAGGGGAGGTGGGGGGTAGATGGAGGAGGTATAGGAGGAAGAGGGGGAGGAATGGAGGGAAAGAGAGAGGGAGGGAGGGAATGGGAGAGGTAGGGGAGGTAGGTAGGGAGGAAGGGAGAAGAGGTGGGGGGAAGATGGAGGTATAGGAGGATGAGGAGCAGGAGGAGGAAGGGAAGGAAAGAGAGAGAAGGGAGGGAAAGAGAGAGGTAGGGGAGGCAGGTAGGGAGGATGGGAGGGGAGGTGGGGGGAAGATGGAGGAGGTATAGGAGGATGAGGAGCAGGAGGAGAAAGGGGGGAAAAGGGAGAGGGAGGGAGGTAAAGAGAGAGGTAGGAGAGGTACAAAGAGAGTGTGAACTGTGGGTATGTGTGGGTATGAGTGGGTATGTGAAACGTGTCCGTTATGGTAAGGTGTGTGGGTGTGCCTGTGTGCGTTACTATCCTGCCACCCGAGTCAAGTGAGGGGAGAGGGAGGAGGAGAGGGAGGGGTTTAATTTCACTGCCAGGCTTTTAGGCCTATCCTAGACTCTCCACGTGCATGCTGCTATGTACCGAGAGAACCTGTACTGGGAGTACCGTGCCTATGCCTTTTCACCTACTCATGCATACCTGGATCTATACTACTGAGTAAACACCTGTGCACCTACTCGTGTATACCTGGAGCTATACTTTCTTATTAACACCTGTGCACCTATTTGTGTATACCTGGAGCTATACTTACTTGCTGAATAAACGCCTGTGTACCTACAAGTGTATACCTGGAGTTATATTTAATGAATAAACAATGTTAGAGTTAATTGTCCAACCTTACTGCCTGCACATGCATTATAGTGCCTCTGGTCCCCACCTTTATTCTCCTTCCCCACTTCTACTCCTCTGTCAGTGAGTAGTGCCATAAGTATGATATTCAGCTCTCCAGAGCAGGGTTTGTGACCCTCAGCTATCAGTAATATACAGGGCTAATACCCCAGCAACCACAAAAAGGCTATACGTTACGTCTGGCAGGCCTGCACTGCTTCACTCATGCGCTGTACGATGCTTCCCGTTCTGGCACCTCTTCTATTTCTTCTTCACTGTATTCACTAAACACTGTATTCACTAACTCCTCTATCACTGTATGCACTATACACTGGAGTCACTACCTCACCTACCCTTGTCTTTTATCTCCCTGGCTTGGGTCACACTTATTCTGTTTGAATTTTGGTATTGGGATGTGGCAATACCACCTACACCAACACTAGGCCTATGGTCATTCCACTCTCTCTTGGCACTGATTCAAATTGTTTTCATGTGTCTGTATCCTTCACCTGCCTTTTCTGGTTGGCACAGATCGTGTATCACTTCTCGGGTTGCTCACTGACACTGTCAACTTCCGATGACCCTGAGAGTGGCTTTGATTGGCCACTAACTACTAAAGATTCACGAGCGAAAACGAGTTGTTGTTCCCGCATGGTGTGTGTGTACTCACCTATTTGTGGCTGGCGGGGTCGAGTGCTTAGCTCTGGCCCCGCTCTCACGGTTGTACTGGGCCCTCTCTCCCCCACTCGCATGGAGCTTTAATCAAACCTGTCTAAAAGTGTGTAGGATGCTGCCTCCAACTACGTCATTTTCTAGGCTATTCCACGCCTTAGAACTCATACTGAGAAAATACTTCCTAATATTCTCTGACTCATTGGTGTTCAACTTCCAGATTGTGACTCTTGTTTAAGGTAACCCCTCCTGGAACATCCTGTCTTTGTCCACCTGTCTGATTCCACGCAGTATTTATATGTCGTTATCAGGTGGCTCCTGACCCTCCTGTCCTCCAGTGTGGGTCGGCAGATTTCCCTTAATCTTTTTCATAGGACATTCCTTAGCTTGGAATAACCTGGTGGCAAAAACCTTTGTACTTTCTCTAGTTTCTTGGACGTGCTATACAAGTGCGGGTTCAAACAGGTGTGCATACTCCGGTATGGGGCTGACATCACGGTGTACAGTGCTGAACGATTCCTTAGTAAGGTATTTGGAATTGCTGTTCTCAGGTCTGCCAGCCCCTCATGCTGGCAGGCAGTTGTTGATTGAGTGTTGCTTTCGGAGACATGCTCGGCTGTTATACTCACCCAGATCTTCTCCTTGAGTGAGGTTGCAGTCTTTGGCCACCTAGCCTTACTAGTCTGTGTCTCTTGCCTTTCCCTACTTCATGACTTTTGCATTCTGGCAGGTTAATTCGAGAAGGCCATTTCTGGTACCACCGTGTCCATTTGTCAAGGTCTACTTGTGAAGTCCTGCCTGGTCCTCATCAATTTAATTCCTGCATTAACTTTCACATAATCTGCAAACAGGGACCTTGAGTCTAACCCTTCCAACTTATGTCGTGCACATATGACAAAATAGTGCCTGATCTAGGACCGACCCCTTTGTGACCCCACTCGTCCCCAGGTAGCCCACTGTGTACATCATTACCGTACCAGACTGGGTTGTGCCTCCCTGATCAGGTATTACTCCTGATCCACAAAGTTGACAGTGCCCTTCCTGTTATATGCGCCTGTGATGCTCTAGCTTCTGCACTAATTCTCTTTGTGGAACTGTGTCAAAGGCCTTATTGCAGTCCCATAGATGCAATCACTCCACCCACCCCCTGTCTCTCGTTGATCTTACTTCTGTTATTTTATCATAAAACTCCCAGAGTTTGTGACACAGGATTTGCCTTCCGTGGCATGATTCAAATGTTCATGGTTGCATTTATACTCTTGTTCGTTGCCACAGAGTGCTCACCACTCTCCTCTGATAATGCTTCTCCATAATTTGCATACTTACACGTCATTGACACAGGTCTAAGTTTGATGCCTCTTTTCTGTCTCCTTTTTTTAAAAATGTGTTGTGTGATGCAGTGTGTGTGTGTGTGTGTGTGTGTGTGTGTGTGTGTGTGTGTGTGTGTTGTGTGTGTGTGTGTGTGTGTGTGTGTGTGTGTACTCACCTATTTGTACTCACCTATTTTGTGGTTGCAGGGGTCGAGTCATAGCTCCTGGCCCTGCCTCTTCACTGATTGCTACTAGGTCCCTCTCTCTCCCTGCTCCATGAGCTTTATCATACCTCGCCTTAAAACTATGTATGGTTCCCA